GCGGATCTAAAAAATTTGCAAAAAAACATATACAGACCTCCTAGAGGATCAGGATTGCACCGCGAACGAAATAAAGGTGAGTTGGATTTACGAAATAAAGGTGAGATGAGGGGGGGGGGTAATGTGAGAATCAACGCAATGGCCACTATCGAAGCTCAAGAAACAAACAACAGCTTCCGGAAGAAAGGTTGAAGTGATGGTGTGAATGCAAATGAACCAATTGAGGAGATCCCAAGTTTTTTTGTGGAGAATCAGGATTGCACCGCGAACGAAGTAAAGGTGAGTTGTTAAGAAATACGTGAGAGTGGAGGAGGGGGGTAGGGAATGTGGGAGTGAACGCAGTGGCCACTATTGAAGCTCTAGAAGAAGCGCTTGAAGAAATCAAACAACAGCTTGCGGAAGAAAGGGTAAAGTGATAGTGTGATTGCGTCAAAGAAATCAATTGAGGAGTTGCGTAAAGAGCAAGTGGAACTGTTAAAGAACGCACTCGCACAGTTCACTGATTTGAATGCTTGTTATAAAACCTTTTTTTGGTGAAAAAATGGACGGTTTACGCCCTGGCTGCCGAACCCAAGGCCGTTACAAGAAGTACCGCTACTCACCGCAGCAACAACCACCGCGGCTTGCGGCCCAAACACGTGGTGAGCTAGCACGTGGTGAGATTTACAACTATATACATGCTAGCACACAACGCATGGCTTCGTGATCACTGGGGCATGTATTGAGCGGTCCAGAAACATTGATTTTCCTCCTTTCCTCAGGTTCCTATTCACCTGTGGTAGGGGACTCGAAAAGTGAAATAGCCCAACCCGGAAATATTCACAACGTCTACCAAGGGACTCGCGGAATTACAGCAGGAGTACGCGTGCCACGGCGAGAGAAATATTATTTCAGGTGACAAACAGAAGAAGCAGGATCAACATCTGGATTCGTTAACGAAGTGCAAAATGGAAGTTGAAGAGGTCATTGAGTTGCTACAAATAGACTACAGGACTTTGATGAAAAGGCAAGACGAAGTCAAATCGAGGTTGCGAAGAAGTCAATGGCGGAAGACTAGGACGAACTCGAAAAAGAGATAAAATTTTATGAAACGATAGCTGATGCTCGTATATCTGTTCATCTTCTGCAAGAGCGCATAACGGAAGGTGAGATGGAGCTGAACAGGAGAAGATGTAAAGGAACGTTTGCCACAAAAGACGAGGGAGCGCTCATAGCTTGATGACCAAACCGATGGTGATCGTAATGCCGGATTATTGCCTCTGAAAAGAACACACGGCTCAGATTCACCGTCGGAGGTGAACCACATCAGTGATATTCGAGAAATGGAGTTTATAAATGATGCGACGCAAAAAGTCAGTACTGGAAGCAACATGAAAATTTTGCCAAAAACTGCAAGTCCGAAGTGGAAAACAATGATCGCAATAAACAAGCTACTGCAGAGTGGCGGATGACCTTTGCGAAGGTCATTACATCAAGCATACCACTATTAAAGGCAGATGTTGGTAAAAGGCGACGTTAAAAGTTGCAATCTCGATGCAAGATGAGCCGCGATATGAAGTATGACAGCGAACCTCTCCATATGCATTCACTGTTGTATGCTAATCTACGAGAGCATGGTATCCTCTATCATTACAATTCACTGCCGTCGTCCTCTACAGCTCATGGCAACCACCCAACTCGCCAAAACTTCATCTTCAATCGCATCGCGGTGCAACAACGGCCAATATGGGATCGAGACAAGCGGCATCCCATCATGAACAGTTGTCGTCACATTTTGTTGCATTATCGTAAATTTGCTATACTTAAACCATCATTCCTCATTTCTTCTGCCGATGGGTCCGCACCTCTTTACATCTGTATCACTTGTCTGCATTTCCCCTGAGTAAGTACCGTAAAGATCATGCCATAAGCATGACCCTGCTGTGATATAAGACTATTAAGTGCCCACATGTTTGTCAACATATTTTGCCAGCCTATAATCTGTAGCATTTTGCCATTGCACTGATACGTTCATGTCGTCTGTTCATAAATCTATAACGCATGTGTTCTGTATAACGCAGGAGTCATACTCCCATTCAGGCGCTATCACGCCTCAGGCTACACTAAAGCCTAGGAACTACGATCTACAGATGAACTTAGCACAGGTCATTACATCAGGAATGCCACAAGCAAGCGCAATCACCGCTGCCATAAAAGGCGAAAAGTTGCAATATCGAGCAAGACTGGCCACGAGAAGAAGTGTGCCTGCGATCTCTCCATATTTATTCAAAGTTTATGCTGATCCACCAAAGCGTGGTACCCTACATCATTGCAGTTCACAGTCCTCTTCCTCTCCATTTCATGGCAGCCGGAGAAGGGCAGACTTGGGTCTACATCCTACGTCTTCGTTTCGACCTCAGCTTCATAGAAAACATTGATAAGGCTCGCGCCTATTATATTTTTGTAGCAGCGGCGTACCTAGGGGAGACTATTCGTAATAATTTCGAAGGTTTCTTGGATTTATATTAACCTTGTGGACGAAGTTCTTTCGGGGCGTGACTGCCGCCGAAATAAATTCGCTGTTCTTTTCTTGAAAATTTTCGGTGTTATGGGGCCAAAAAATTTGGAAAACTGCTAAGCCGCATGGATAACGCCATGCACCGCCAAGCACCACCACCATTGTCGTCCCCTTTCTCTTTCCCCCTCCCGATCCGAACGGAAATCGCCATTATCTTGCAGAGATTGCCTTCCCCTACCTAACGGTATGTTTGCCCTACTTTCTTATTCATATCGAAGAAAAACTTTACTAAAATGGATGGGTACCTTTCAACCAGTAGCAAACCATCCCCAGCACTGGCTGGGAAATTTTGAAATCCGCCTATAGGAGCTACGAAAATATGCTAACTACTTGTTCTTGCTTTCAGCAGAAGGGGTATAGCACCAACTTTATTGATTTCTCTGCTTTTCAGTCCTGACTGATTACTGTCCTGTGAGAGTGAAGAAAAACTCCTCAAAAAATAATAATGAAGTTGAAAAGAGAAGGGAACTGAGCCAAATCAGGATGGCACTTTATTTTATGATTTGACTTCTTCCAGTACAAACTATTTTTTTATCGAGAATTGTACTAATGGCGTACAAAAACGGGAAATTTATTTCGAATTTATTTTCGAAATTGCTATACTTAATTTGCGATTCATTGGCGAAATGGTTGATCAAAGCCTACACTAATTTTATCTGACTCAGCCCCAATTTAGTAAAGTGTTCCTTTTGCTCATAACTGTGGTCACGTGCAAAATAAGGGCACTACACTCAGAATGATTGAATTTTATAATTCTCTACGAAGAGTAAACAAAACGAAGTGAAGTAATATTGGAAATTGGATCAACGCGACAGGAAAAGCTCTTGATGAATAATGACGTTCAAAATGTTCTAGAAGAGTACTCCCGACTTCGAAGTTTTGAGCTATTGTAAACACGAAAGACATATAATCAAACTTGAACATCAAAAGGTCCATGAGGCCTACTTTGGC